AATACATTGTTTTAACCTAAAGTAAAACTAAGAAATTTCAGTGTATATTTTTCATATATGCATTTTATCCCTTTATTTGAATGCTTCGTTTTGATTATGGCTGACCTATGGCACTGTTAAATTTATATTTTGCCCCATAGAGTTTTATCCTGTCTGACTTGTTAAGTTCCAAGAATTAATTGACTTGACCCCATTAGTTAAAAGGTATTACTGCTATGTGATGTTGTAATAGCACCATTGTCTTATCTTATCTCTGTGTGTCTTACGCTGCCCTCAAACTCAATCACGCAGCTCCCGAATAGACTGCGTTCAACAAATATTTTGAATCTTTTCCTGCAGAGCACAAAGTCATCATAGTGGGTTTGGACAACGCAGGAAAGACGACCATCCTCTACCAGTTGTAAGTGGTTTTGGATAATCTCACATAACTTCATGTCTGTGCTGCCATTTTTCCGTTTCATTTCAAATGTTTCCTCCTCCTCCCTCACAAACTCATCCAGTCTGACAAAGGAGGCCGTCCACACGTCGCCAACCATCGGCAGCAACGTTGAGGAGATCGTCGTGCGGAAGACACACTTCTTGGTTTGGGACATAGGAGGACAGGAGAGCCTTCGAGCCAGCTGGCACTCGTACTACTGCAACACAGAGGTGTGGATCACTAACTGTACTAAGCTCTTCTATCAACTGTAAACTGTATGTTCAGATACTGAAACACTTTTCATAGGTTAGAAATTGATCATAAAAGCAGAACATAATTTGTAAATTTAAGTTTGAGCTGTTTATGTATTTCCCCAAAACAAAAACAACCCAGAATTACCACCCTGCATACAAATGCCTCCACCAACCACTGCAGTCACAGTGACAACTGGTCCAAATTTGAAGAAATTCCCTAAAGCAAACTTAAGATATCGTGTCCAAGAGGCCAAAAATATGATTTGTGAGGCCACTGCAACCTTGACCTTTGACATTTGGCCATCTCAATGTAATATTTAATCCATGAATCTAAGTGAACATTTGTGCCTAATTTGAAAGGGCTCTCTGTCGAGGCTTTCTTAAAATAACACATTCATGGGGGTTTGTTAAGTCACGGTTTCCTTGACCTTTGAGCTTCAACCACCAAAATCTAATCAGTTTATCTTTGAGTTCAAATAAACGTTTGTACCAAATGTGTTTCTTGAGATATCGTGTTTCACAATAATCGGTCGACCTCCAGCCACTGGCTGGAAGAACATTGATCA